AACAACCTGCTGCCTCTGGCTGCTGGCGAGTCCTCGTGTCGTGGTGAACCCTTGTGCTCCTCACCCACAGTCTCCCTTTTGCTGTTAGTTTCAGGTACCTGTTTTGCATCCAGCACATTTGAACTAGCAGAGAAGACGTCGGGATTTGCGTTTAGACAAACTATTTAAGGCTCATAATTGTGCACTTGGTGTGATTTCTTTCCTGTGATGGGTAGAAAAGGTCTGTGATACAATGGTACACTTGATGCCTCACAAGGACGGCCATTACAACAGTATTCCAAAGGTTGATGTTTTGCTGGTTTTGTTATACTGCTTGATATACATCTTGAATAAAGTCTTAATCTTTTCTTTATTAAAAAAAAAAGAACAAAAAACAAAACCAAACATCTTTAGTCTGTTCAATGTATCTGGCAGGCCAGAATAATCACTTTGATCGCTGTATTATTTTTATCTGAATTCTGGCTGACTGTATATAGATGTATTCACTAAGTGCTGCATGTCCTTCAGAACTTTCTGTATCATGAACTGGAAAAAGAACAAAATACAGCTACTGAACACTCTGAGTAACTAGTGAATTCATTGCAATGCTACAGCCTTGTACAGCAAACCACCTCTGCTGTACAGGCAGCTCTGGGGCTGATAACCAGGGACTGTCTGCTCAAAAATGGGTGATCAGGGAATGCTTTAAAGTACTGCTTTCATACACTTTCTGGAGTATCAGCTTTGTAGAGAAAACATCTGATCCAACCCTTAGCAAAAACAGGGTGTAGATGATCTGGTCACTCCAAACAGACCCCATGATAAACCCTTGGGTTTGTTCCATTTATGTGTGACCAGGAATGTGCAGTATGAAGTATGAATAAACAAGAAATTACTCTGACTTGTCTGCTTGAGGATGTTGTGCAGGACACAAAGAATAGATTCTACTATTAAAAAACCAACAGAGGACACAAAATGTGAGTATTGTAATGAAAGCTGGTGGCCAAAACATTTTAAAATCAGTCATAAAATCAGCATGTAGCTATGAAACTCTGGTTTGGGTTTTTTTTTTTCCCCCTACACTTTCCAGCATAGACACAGGGCAATAATGTGTTATTGTGACAGGCAACAATGCTAAGATGGACCCTGCTCTCCTTCTTCCTCTTCCCCAGAAGACTCCATTCAGTGAGCCACCACTTAGTATGGATACAGAAAAATAGATTTTGGGGTTATTTAAACATATTTATTTTTAAAAAATAAGATTAAGTATGTTGAATTATTCACTTTTAGTACTGTTTAGTGTATTCCTCCGTGACAATCACAGGAAGCCACCAGACATCAGAATGTGTAGGTGACCAGCCTGACCTCTGCTAAGTAAAACAAACAGCAGATGAAGATAAATTCGAGTATTCCTTTATTGTGGGCACTGATTCCCATAATTCTGCTCAGATGATATGCACGTTTATTTGAAAAAGCACAGGCAGTTCAGATGTATGTTCCAAAAGCCAGACCGTGGCACACGACCACTGCCCCTTTCCCAGAGATGTGCAAACCCAAGATTTCTACACTCGGAGGTTCGTGCGGTCGTGGTACTTCTGGAAGGGGTCATCAACGTACCAGTTCCTTCTTTTCCAGAAGGAAGTGGTCATTTTATCCAGGAGCTTACACTGTGTCCTCGTGCACAACACCAACTCCCTCAAACGCTTCTTCTGGGCAGCTGACTTCTTCCACAGCTTCTTCTTGTAACCAGACTGTCAGGAGAAAACACACACCAAAAAACCCCACTTCTTAGCAGCTCACTGCAAATGCACAAACACAGCCACCTGCTCAGCAACCCTGGATAAATTCCCCTCGTCAGGAAAATGGGAGTCTCTCCACAGAGCTTTTTTTAACTTCCCCATCAGCCACTGCCCTCCAAGTGAAGGAAAACAATAACACTTTAGCCTGACTGTAAAGAACAGGCTCTCATTATCCAAAAAACCTCACCTTTCTCCTGACCCAGAGGCCGTTGTGCAGCCGGAGGAACCTTTTGACCACAGCTTTCACACTTTTCCTCTTCCCTTTCCGTAGGCTGCAGTAGGTGAGGCTCCTCGCTGGCTGCTGGAGTAAACTTGGAAGCAGAGGTGTGACACTAAAAAAAAACCAAACCAACCCCAGGGTGAAGAGGAAAACAGAACAGGAATGAAACACCTTTTTCTAAAAGAAATCACTGCCTTTATCACACACAGGGAGATCAGAAGAGCTGGGGCTTGTTTGAAGGGTAACAAGGACTCATCTAATATTATAGCACAGCATCTAATGGGTGTAGAATAACAATGGCAGGGCTGGACTCTTGTCAAAATTCAGCTCAAACTTATTATTCCACACAGAGCACCTTTTCTTAATCTACTAAAAGCAGTCAAACACTCAGAAGCCAATATTCAGCTGTTACTTGGATTCAGAAATTACTTTTACAATATTAGTCACAAAATAGTTTCAGTTGGAAAGGACCTCATAAATCATCTAGTCCAACACCCATGAGCAGCAAGAGAAACTGTAGTGATTACAAGACTAATTGTAAAATATGGCTACAAAGAGTATCCTAATTTACCTTCTGCTTCAAGCATTAATGGTGACTGAAGTGGGAAGCTTTGGGGCTAACACAGACCCACTGCAGAGTGAAAAGGTGCCCAAGAGTGTCAGACTGAAATCTAAATATTATACATATGTCTGTCTGTCTGTCTATCTCTGTATGTTGTTTATATATATATGGGGAATGAGGTCAGTCTCTTCTCCCAAGAAGCAACAGGAAAAGAGAAAGTTTTGCCAGGGGAGGTTTAGATTGACTCCAGGGAAAACTTTCTTCACAGAAGGGGTTGTCAAGCACTGGCAGAGATTGCCCAGGGCAATGGACAGGTCTCCATCCCTGGAGGGATGTAAAATCTGTGCAGATGTGGCACTTGAGGACACGATTTAGTGCTGGCCTTGGCAGTGCTGGAGTAAGGGTTGGACTTGATGATCTTAGAGGTCTTTTCCAACCTATGATTCTACAATATTAATATATATATATGGAGGAATTTCAACATATATACTACCCATATTGCATATGTAATATAATACTACATATTATATTATTAAATATAACATAGACTATATTAACAATATAATATTAATACACACGATGATAAATTGTACATGTTATAGGATACATAATAATTCCACAGTATATTACATATTATGTAATGCATATGTAGCGGAATAAAATATATATTCCTAAATGTATTTATGTATAAACACATTTTAACATAAAATATAGTTATATACATATATATACACACATATTTGAAATATATCGTATTTCAAATTATTTATATTGATATGAAACAATATCATGCATCTAAAATATATAAGGTATGCAAATAGAAATATATATTAAGTACATATATATAACATATATAGAGAGAAACGCATCCGTGTATATCTGTATATATATACGTGTATATATATATATATATATATTTTATATATATATATACACACACGTGTATGTCCCTTTTAAGGGTTTTTCGCACGAGGGAGAAGCCGCGTAGCCGCACCTGCTGAGCACCGAGGGGGTCCCTGCCCGGGGCCGGTTCTCGCTCAGCAGCCGCGGGGTCCAGAGCGGGGCCGGGGCCGGTCCGCGCCCCACGCACCGGGCGGAGGGGCCGCCGAGCGGGAGCGCGCGGGGAGCCCAGCGCCGCAGGATCCCTGCGGGGACACGGGAGAGCCTCAGCACAAACATCCCAGCCAGACACCCCCAGCCCCGACACCGAAACCGCCCCGGTACCGACCCGCCAGGGCCCCGCGGGCCGCCGCCATAGCCATGGCCACGCTGCGCCGGGCGGGGCCGCGCCGCGTCCCGCCCACGGGGGCGGCGGCCGCAGCGGAGCCGGGATCCCGCACCGGACTGGGGATCTCACACCGGAGCCGGGATCCCGCACCGGACTGGGGATCTCACACCGGAGCCGGGATCCCGCACCGGACTGCGGATCTCACACCGGAGCCGGGGCCCCCCACCGGAGTCGGGATCCCGCAGCGGAGCCATGGTTCCGCACCGGACTCGGGATCCCGCAGCGGAGCATGGTTCCGCACCGGACTCGGGATCCCTCACAGCCCCCGGGTCCTCCTCGTCCGCCCCGCTCCCGCTCCTTCCCCCCGCGCAGCCGTCTCCTTTAGGGACCGGCACACACCGAGCCTCCGCCCCCGGGGATCTGTTAGTAAAGTCTCCTACAAAACGCGCCAGGTGGATTTAACTCATTGTTTGTGCGCATTACTGGTGTATTCTGATTTTTTTCTCTTCAGAAGCCTGGCCGGACTGGTTGAAGGATGAGATAAAAATGGCTCCTGAGTGCTCTGAGCGAGAGAAGGTTTATGAGCGAGCTGTGAAAGGTTACAGCTGTAAATTGTTGATAAACGCTATAAAATGTGCTGTGTTACACTCAGACTGGGGGACAGGCTGAGAGAGCTGGGGCTGCTCAGCCGCGGGAAGGACACTCATCATGCCCGTCAGTGTCCGAATGTTTTTGTGCTCTGTCAGCGCTCGGAGCAGGGACCGGGCTCTGCTCGGTGGTGCCGGGCAATGGGATAAGCGGGAATGGGCAGCAGCCGATGCCCAGGAGCGTCACCGGACCGTGCGGAAGAGCTCCCTCACAGGGCAGTGACCGGGCACGGGGCCGCGGTGCCCAGAGCGGGTGCGGAGCGTCCCTCACCGGAGACATTCCAGAGCTCTCTGGTTGCACTCCTGTGCCGCGTGCTCTGCGATGACTCTGCTTAAGCAGGGAGGTTGGACCAGACGACCAACTGTGGTCCCATCCGACCTGAGCCATTCTGTGATTTTCATTTTTATTTTTATTTTATTCTGTCCCGCCCGCGCCCCGAAGGTCCCGGGTGAGCACGCGCCCCCGCGCTCGGGCCCCACCCCGCCCCGCCGGCGTCGCGCGGCCCGTGCCCGTCCTCCCATTGGCCACGCGAGACCCGTCACGCGCGGCCGCCCCCTGGCGGGGCGGGAGCGCCCGCGCAGGCGCAGTGCCCGCTGAAGGGGGGGACGGAGGCGGCGCCGGCAGGACCCGCGCAAGGCGCCTTCCCGCGGGCCGCGCCGGCCGCCGCTCCGAGCCATGCTGCGGGCGTGCCGCCGAGCGGGGCTCGCCGCGGCCAAGCAGGTGAGCTTTCCCCGGGGGAACCCCGCGACCCACCCCCGCTGTGACCAGCCCTGCGAGCGGTGCGGCCGGGCCAGGCCTGCGGGGATGGAGGAGTCCCTGTGACCGCGACTCGGCGCGCGCTGAATGACTCCGCACGCGCGGGCCGTGATTGGCTGAGCAGCCTTTGACGGGCGGCCGCGGCCGCCAACGGAGGCGGGGGGCGGGCGCTGGTGGGTGGGGTGTACTACCAGTCCCAGCGTGCACCGCGGCAGGACAGCCCGGGACGGAATGTGGCACTGCCGCAAGGGACGCCGGGACTCTTAGTCCTTAATGGGGTGGCGGGGTGCCGTGTTGCTTGCTGGGGCCTGTAGTCTCGGCCTCCATGGCCGCGCTGGGCCCGGAGCTCCTCTCCGCTTCTCCCGGCCCCCCACACCCCGGGACAACGCCGGGAGCCGCGGGCGTGGCCCGGGGGCCGGCGGGGCCTCGGTGGGGACGCGCACGGCCCGGCGGCCCCGCACGGATGGCGCGTGGGTGGGAGGCAGGCGCGCTCCTGGGCGGGAAGGACGTGACCTTGCCTTCCCCGGCGCGGCCTCCGCGCAGCCCCTCCGGAGCCCGCCGGGTCCGGCCCCACGAAGGGTCGGGACCGGCGCGGTGTGTGGCGTGGGGACACGGGTGGTGTCAGCGCTCATGTGTAAGGGGGTCCTTCCGTCCCCACGGTGGGACACAACACGCGATGCCCAGGGCAGAAGTGCCCGTGGGACTCGTGCTTTGTGTCCTGGACCTTTGCCTCTCCTTATCAGCGGAGATAAGGGTGGTGATGTGCTCTGGAGCCTTTTTAAAGCAGTAGGCCAACTTTAGGAAGCCACAGAGGTTTATAGGTGAGAGTGACTCGTTTACCAAGGCCCCAAATTGTGTTTTAGCTGCCTGATAAAAAATAACCTGATTCGATCACTTTTATATCCTGTTTTCCATCCCAGTGTTCATTACCCTCCGTTCACACGATGTAGCAAAGGAGAAGCTGTAGGTTCTTCTCTCTAAAGCCTTTCCCACTGCAGCAGCTGCATTTCCTCTGCTGCTCTCCGGGGCTGGAGAGTCCTTTGGTCACCTGATGCCCACTGAAAAAAGGCTCTGGGTTTGCCTGGCTGTGGAAAGTTTCATCTGGACGTTGAGAAGACAGAAACCAGGCTTTGGCAGATACTTATCACTCGAGGCTATTTGCATGTGCTTGGCTTTAACAGAATATGTCTGGAATGACTGTACAGCTCCAGAACAGCCAGGGTGGTGCTTTGCAGCTGGAAGTTGGTCATCGGGCTATAAATATTTGGTGAAAGAGTCACAGAGTGGTTTGGATTGGAAAAGACCTTAAGACTTTCTCATTCCAAACCCCTTGCCCTGGGCAGGGACACCTTCCACTATCCCAGGTTGCTCCAAGCCCTGTCCAGCCTGGCCGTGGACACTTCCAGGGATAGAGGGCATCCACATTTTCTCTGGGGAACCACCACACCACCCTCACAGGGCAGGATTTATCCCTAAGAACTGTGCAAACACAGATGCCACAGCACTCTCTGAAGTTTGATATCTGTACCAGAGAGTTTGTGGTGGAGACTGGGAAAACTTTATTCATTCTTTCCTTCCCTCTTTCCTGTTATTCATTTTTTCCTACTTTCATTTTTTTCTGTGAGCTCTTTATTCATTCTTTCCTACTGTGAGCTCTGTGTGTGGAGCATCGCTAAACTTGTAACAAGTAAATTGAAGTGGCTTTGAGAGAAGGGGATCTTCATTGCTTTCAGAAATGTTTTCTGCTACACATGCAGTGCTGCAGAGAGACTTTTCTCTTGAAGTATTTTTGAAATGTTCTGTGAAATGAACAGGGCTTTTAGTAAAAGTATGTGATATTTGGCAGAAGTCTGGAATGATGGGAAATCAGAGTTCTGTGGTGAGATGTCCTTGTTGTACCTGATCTGTGTCTTAATGAAGAAAAACTTCTCTGAAGTTTCTGGTTTGCTCTTTCTAAGTGCACAAATCCTGTGTTACAGAAATTCTGGATCAGGATACTCGAGCCTGGTGCCTAAGAGAGGTTGAGCTGGAGCTGAATGAGCAGAGGATAGTGTGTCCTGGCCATGGTTATTTGAAGTTACATATAAAGTATAAGCCTGCAAAGCAAATTTAATTTGTTTAATGATGTTCTGCCGTGCCAGAGTGAGCTCACTTGGATATCCTTAAATGTCCCTAATCACTGGGCTCATAATATTAACCAGAGTGAAGGTGTGATGTGCCCTGCTAAGTGATTATTGTGGTGATTAAATAGTAGGTAATGAAGGCAAAAGAATAAGTATTTAAAAAGTTGAGTGAAACAAATATTATGTAGAGCTGCTGGAGGAGAAGGAAGAAATAGAAACAGCTGCCCTGCAGTGCCCTTGCTGTGGGCATCCTTGCTGTGTCCATGCTGCCTCATCCAAAGAATTTTCTGTCTTCTGCAGGACAAAAATTGGTTTATTTCTGCCTTTTGAAGGGCACTGCAAAGCACATGTGATGAATTTCTCCAAAATTCTTTGAGGCATTATTAGAAATAAATGACAAGGGTCTGAAAATTTACAAAGTCCTGGAAATTTTGCAAAGGGGAGATTGGAAATTACTTCCTAATTTCCATATTATGGTGGTACAGCAAATACAAGCAATACTATTTTGGTGGCCAAAAGAGCAGTACTTATTTAAAAAAATTATTAAAAAAAATCAGTGATTTTTGGAGGTATTAGTGTATCTGGATGTGAGGGAGGAAGAATTTGGCTTCTGTTCATAAAACATGGGTACCTACAGATTTCCATTTGCTGTTCCTCTGGCCAGCTGAGGAAATTTGTTGCAGTGACTTGAAAGATTGAGTTGGTGAGGGCTTGTTTAGGGTTTGATTACTGCTCCCATTGCTGCACGTGTGAGAGTTCCAGTGCCAGAGGTGGAGGGCTTGTGTTTTGGTTCCTCTCATCCTGATGAAAAAACAGAAATGAGGATTTGGCTAATTCTAGAACAGTCCAGCTTGGAAGAGATCTCAGAAGATCATCTGCTCCAAAGGGCATCTGGACTAAAATCAAGCATTCCTCCAAAAAATCCCTCCTGGTGTATGAAACATAACTGCTGAGCTAAGAGAAGCAGGTGTTCTCCTCTGCTTTGGTGGCTCCCTGGGCACAGCCTGATCCCGAGGGCAGGAGCTGATGTTTGCTGAAGGTGTGGAGCCAGATGTTTGCCATCACCAGGAGTGAGTAAGGGTTTTAGCCAACAGGATTGACCAGAGGGCAGGTCCAGCCCCAGCAAGGATGTGGGAGTGACAGTGCTGCAGGGTGGGATCACCTCCAGAAAGCCTGGCCAGGAGCTCAGAAGTGATGATTTATTTCCAGGGGAGCATCAGGCAAAATAGCACAGTCCCAAAGTGTTGGAAGGGACTGGAAATTCAGTCTGAATTGATGAATAGAAAATCAGGGTATTTTCCCCTTCTCATTTTGTTGGATTGAGCTGTATGCATAATACTGGATTATTTGCTCCTCCTGTGCTTCATGGTGTAATAGGGACATAGAGAGAGAGTCAGGAGCACATTCAGAAGTTGATAACAAAATCATTTGTGAGGCTTTTATTAGTGAAATTCCCCTTGAAAGGAGCAGTGAAGCCTCAGGAAGTGCTCCTGGAGCAGTCAAGTCAGAAAATCAAAAATGTTACAGAAGATATTTATTATTTTGTTGCCCTTTCTGTCCATCATAATCCAGAAAACCTCCCACAGTGAGGGCTCCTGGAGGTCTCAGGGGCAAGAGGAGCACTCTTCCTCTTGCTGTACATGTGCTCCTGCTGCTAATTAAAAATGTTTTGGCTGCCTTTGTGGAAAGAATAAGAATGCAGTGTTCCTGCCTTTTCCTGTCTGTGCTGCTGGACAGGGATAGGACATAAACCACAAGAGTTGTGCATGTTATTGCCATGTGCAAAAGGAAATATAGAAACTTGTCTTTTGGGATTGTGTTGTAGTGAAGCATCTCCCAGTTTTTTCTTTTTTAAAATAAAAATTCCCTGTTGGGCAAAATACCTCAACTGTGGGAAAAGTTCTTTTTGTGCCTTGCACTTTGATTTCTCATGAGTCCTGTATTTCCCTGTTAGTAATTCCCATGTGGGGGAAAAAACCTCTGAGGCCAACAGTGTGTTTTCTTCTGTAGGCTTAGACTAGCTTAACCAGTCCTTCAGAGAAGATAAAAATCTTGGTAATGTGGATCTTGTTAAGTAGAATATAATAAAATATCACTCTTCATATACTAATTTAATTTATATTATAATCTGATGTCTGTCTGGAAAGTGTGCATGTTATTAATTCTTTTAAAGTAGTGGTCTTGGTTTGGAAGCTAAAGGAGAATTGCTTGTATATCTTAAGAATTAAAAGTAGTTTGAAGCATTTAAACAGCTGTTGTTGTGTTCTGTCCCACTCACACTGAGTTGTTCTAGTATGTGAGGTTGAAATGCATCTGAAACTAACCCAGTTGTACTGCCCAGCACATAAATCAGCAAAATAAATGCAGAAAGCAGCTGGGGTAGGGGTTTATTCCTTCTCATTTTTCAAATTTTCAATTCATTTTTCAAAGAATTGAATGACTTCTTAAAAAGCTCTGAACCTGGAAGCTGCACATTGTGGCATTCACATTCTGTGAAAAGTCACTTTGCCCAGGATTTTTTTCCTGGGAAGCTGAGAAGCCTCAGAGAAAAAGGAAAACAATTCTTATCTCCTTTGCTTCTCCTGTGTTGTGCTCATGTGGAATGTGTTTGGAGATTGTTCACCCACAGGTGATTGTTTCACTGGATTCTGCTGTGAGTTGTTTTCACTCTTTGGCCAATCAGGGCCAGGCTGTGTCAGACTCTGGAGAGAGTCACGAGTTTTCATTATTATCTTTTTAACATTCAGTAAGTGTCCTTTCTGTATTCTTTAGTGTAGTATAGTATTCTTTAGTATAACACAGTATTATAAAGTAGTAAATTAGCCTTCTGAGAACATGGAGTCAGATTCATCATTCCTCCCTGCCACGAGGGTCCTTACAAATACAGTAGCACATGGGAAAGCTCTCCATGTTTCACAGAAAAGAGTTCAACGTTGTAGTGCTGCTCTCAGCTTTCCTACAGACACACTGAGGTTGTGGCAATGGAGTCAATCAGCCCAGTGCTGCTGTTGGGAGGGAGATGTTTCCCTGTCTCACTGTGGCCCTGCCTCCTCCCTACAGAACAGTCGGTGTGTGAGAGCCTCGCTCCGTCCATCGCGGCTGTACCGCGGATATGCCACCCACTCCGGGGAGTCCGGGTACGTAGCGGGGTCTGGGGGTGGGACTGGTTCTGGCTGACCAACAGGGGCTCTGCTCCTTGGTTTCACATGACAGCAGACTCCTGGAAGTGGGATTTCTCTGTGGGGTAAATCCTGTTGTCATGGGGCGTGTTCCTTGTTTGGTTCAGTCAGATTTAGATGAAGAAAATGAAGATGATCAATATTTATCATGGAAGTTGTGGGCTGGCATCTTACCTTTGGGTTAGTCACTAACCAGTGTTGTACCAGGCTGAAGGTGATTTAAAGCAGGTTCTGGAACAGAGTGGTGGTCCCCAGCTGTAAGCTGAAGACTCACAAACTGTTTGATGTTCACAATATAATTTATTTATTTATTTATTTATGTAATTTACATCCCTTTCACTCTTCTTTCCTTCTCAGCGTTTCTGTGGGCAAAATCATTGGTGCAGGTCTGCTGTTTGTGGGAGGAGGGATAGGTGGGACCGTCCTGTATGCCAGCTATGACAGACAGTTCAGGGAGAGCGTGGAGAAGGCCATTCCCTACTCTGACAAACTCTTTGAGATGGCACTTGGCCCTGCACCTTCCAGCACACCAGTGTCAAAGAAACCAGTAAGTGTTTCCCATCCACCCCCACACATCCACTTAACCTGTTTTTTAAAGAGTGTCTGCACTTAGGTTTCAAATTCTGATTAATATTGCTTTGTGCTAAGAATTTTAAAAGTTGAAGAATTAAGATTCCTTAAATTAAGCTTTAAGAGTTAGGAACTCAGTTCCTACTTGGTGCTGCAAAAGTGATGCTTGTACATTTCCCATTACCATCTCATGATTGTGGTGTGTGGGTTGTAAAACTTGTTTGTATTTACAGTAAAGCAATCTAATAGAATCCCAACTGAATAGCTGCTCTGCTTACTCAGAAATTAAATGGGGACAGAGAGAGGTGGGTGATAGGCTGGAATTTAACTGCTGTTCAATTAGTTAGTGGTGTAGCAGAATTACAAAACTTACTCTAAATGAACTTATTTTAAAGAGGACTGAGAACATTCTTGAATAAGTAAAGATTTGAATGGTACAGAGCCAGGTATAAGCATAATGATTTGAAATCTTAGTGGCACTACCCTGGAGAAAGGAAAATCTGATACTGCCTTTGGCACAACTCTGGAAATTGAAACCTGGAAGTTTCTCTGCTCCTCCATGTGAAAGGAAACTTCCCAGTAATCAAGTATACTGAAAATCTAATCTGGCCATGGTTTTGAGCTTTCAGAAGCCATTTGGCCTTCAGCAAACTGAAAATATTTTAAATTTAATTTTAAGAAAGCTGTTCTTAATGAGTGGGCAAATATCAGTCAATAAAATTTTCTCTCTTCTCATTTTAGCTGCAGTTTGTGTGATCATCCAAGCTCTTGGTGCCTCCCAGGCACTAGGGAATTTTGCAAACCAGATTGATCAGCAGAGTTATCAACTCCCCAGTCATGGCTCTAACTCAGATGGTTTTATATTTACCTTGTGGCTTTCCACAATGGATGTTAAGGGATTAATATCATAAAATGTCACAATACTCTGTGTTTCAGTGTTTATGTGCCCCAACCACCAGCATCTGAAGCCTTTCAACAGGAAATCAGTGAAGCCAAACTTAATGGTTTCTACATTCAACACACTCAGAAGTGCTTGGAATATTTGGGGCATGAAACTATTTGTTTTTATGCATAATTTAATAAATATTTGTTTATAGTGAAAACTACCACAGTTCTAACTGCATTTTTGGAGAGGAGAAAATTGTAAAAATTCCTTCTGAATTAAAAATCAAGGCATTATATGGCTGTTTTAAATTGCACTTTGAAGCTCAGATTTATGGCACAGACACTTGGATATGGAAAATTATACTGGAATTGGTGAAATCCAAGCTGTTTGAAAAACTGATGATATTTCTTATTTCTGATGTTTCAAGATACATCAAGGTCCACTGAAGATCTCATCTGTAGCAGAAGTAATGAAAGAGTCTAAACAGCCTGCTCCCAAATCCCAGATAGGCAAGCCAGAAGGTGCTGCTCCTACAGAGGAAAAAGGAGGTAAATTTATAGAGTGTCATGTACAAAGAAGCAAATCACCTAATGATCTCCTGCATCATGTATGGTAGAGTAGATTAAAATTGTCCTTTGAATGGTTTAAGGTAAATATTGTAATTTCTTAGAATTAATGTTTTTTTTTATTTCCAAGTCATAACATTTGCATAAAGTGGGTTTAGCTTTTTTTTCCCTTTTTTAAGAATTGTATTTAATTTAGAGGATATTTGGAATCTGAGATAAATAATTATTAACCTGCTTAGTTTAGATGTGAGACTCAGCAGGAAGAGAACTTCAGATGCTGGACTCTGAGGGTCTTGCCAGCACAAGATACTTAATTTAGGATAATTACTGGGCTACTGTAAAGCCAGATCAAATGGAGCTCATTTAGAGAGGAGCACTTGTGATGTCTTTTTACATTTATATCTAATGGCTCTGTGTATGTGTAACTAATATCTTGTTGCTGTTTATCCAGGAAATCATCTTCTTCTGGAAATAATATCCATATCCAATTAATATTTTTCTACAGAGGAAAAAATTAAGTCTTATAGCCCTGTTATTATATTATAGCACTTAGATGGAGTGGTTTGGAAGAGAGCTTAAAAATCATCTAATTTCAACCCCCTGCCAAGGGCCAGCACACCTTCCACTAGACCCAAAAGGCACATCCAACCTGGCCATGAGCACTTCCAGGGATGGGGCAACCACAGCTTCTCTGGGCAGCCTGGTGCAGTGCCTCACCACCCTCACAATAAAGAATTTCTTCCTAATATCTGATCTAACCCTGTCCTCTGTCAGTGTGAAACCCTTCCCCCTTGTCCTGTCACTCCATGCCTTTGTAGAAGACCATCTCCAGCTCTCATGTAGAAACTGGAAGGTAATTGAAGGTGTCCCTGGAGCCTTCTCCATGCTGAACACAACCAGCTCTCCCAACCTGTCTCCACAGCAGAGGGGCTCCAGCCCCCTGAGCATCTTTGTGGCCCCCTCTGGACTTGCTCCAACAGATCCATTTCCTCCTTGTGTGGGGGGCCCAGAGGTGGATGCAGCCCTGCAGGTGGGGCCTCACCAGAGCAGAGTAGAGGGGCAGAATCCTCCCTTGACCTGCTGCCCACACTGATGGGGGTCCAGCCAGCACACAGGTGGTTTCTGGACTGCCTGTGCACGTGGCAAGGTCATGTTGAGCCTCTCATCCACCAGCACCCCAAAGTCCTTCTCCTGGGGGCTGTTCTTGATGCATTCTCCCCCCAGCCTGTGTTTGTGCTTGGACTTGCCCCAGTCCAAGTGCAGGATGTTGCATTTGGTCTTGTTGAGCTTCATGAGGCTCACACAGTCCCACCTCTCGAGCCTCTCCAAGTCCCTGTGGATGAACATCCCTTCCCTTCATTGTGTGACTGCACAGCTCAGCTGGATGTCATCCGCAAACCTGTTGAGGGTGCATCAGTCCCACTGCCCAGGTCACTACCAAAGATGTTTAACAGTCCTGGTCCCAACAGTGACCTCGAGGAGCACACTTATCACCGGTATCCATTGGACATGAGCCATTGACCACAACTCCTTGAGTACAACCATCCAGCCAGTGCCTTATCTACAGAGTGGTTCATCCATCAGATCCATGTCTCTCCAGTTCATAGATAAGGATGTCATGTAAGACAGTGGCAAATGCCACTTCAAATTTCTGAAATCCAGAGAGGTGATGTCACTTGCTCTTCTCTTATTCAGCAATGCTGCTCCCTCACTGGAGGGTCTCATCTCCTCTGTCATCCTGCAGCAGACCCCCAATGTAATGTCACCTATCCCTGCCCTCCCTTTAATCCTGACCCATAAACTCTTGGTTGGCTCCTCTTCCATCCCAGGCAGAGCTCCATTTGCTCCAGTTGGTCATTGACAAAGGGGATAATTGCTCTCCTTGTCTCCCCTGCCAGGCCTTCCTGAAGAGCCTTCATCCATTCCAACCCTCCAGTCACAGTTGCCATCCCATCATGTCTCCATGACATGAGGTCCCCTTTTCCTGGGCCCCCTCTCCCAGCAGCCTTGGTTTAAGCCCCTCTTCACCAGCTCAGCAGGCCCCTGACCAAAGATGCTCTGGCCATCCTGCTCTGGCAGATGGAGGCCATCTCCCCAGCTGTACTAACTGGTGTGTTCTGCAACTGTGTTTAACAGCAGGCAAGGCTGCAGCACAGATCATCTCTGCAACAGGGGTAGCCGTGTCAGTGCCAGCTCCGGAGATACAGACTGAAGAAGGTGAAAAAAACTATGTGAATACAATGAAGACAACCCAAATCCTCTAGCTTCATGTGCATGCATTCTTGCTTCTGTGTTGGTATTTGTCATTGTTGAAAGGTGTGAGTTTCTGTGCCTTGTGGTGAGGAAACTGTGTTTATTGTTAAGCTCAACAAGAGACACCAGCCTTGAGATGATGGTCTCTTCCAGATGAGATTAGGTTATATTAATTTTTCTAGTTATGAACATTTCATAGAAAGCATACCAGGGTTAAATACATGCTGCAGAGTAACATCAGCATTATTCAGAGGTGACCTGATGGGTTTTGTTGCAGCTTGAGGTTGAGAGCTCTGGGCTGTCTCCTCAGTTCAGATGCAACTTGCTGTTGATCTTGAAAGCATTACTTAGGTCAATTCTCACTCTTAAAGGCATTTTAAGTGGTTGTAGGCAAGGGAATGGAGTATAGTTGTGATCCACCATAGCCTTCTCACTCATCCTTCGTTGTTTTGGTTGGACTCTGTAAGCATGCCAGAGGAGAACTAAGAAAAAGCAAGAATGGAGATTCACTTGAAATTTAACCTTGGCTCTGTAAGTGTTTCTCACTTCTTGCTTTGCCTTTGACTTCTGAGTCTTGTATAATTTTGTAACTAGACAATGGAGAATCTCCAAATGCATGTGAGGTGTCCATGCTCTTGTCTTTAAGTTGTGAGACTGGGTTTGTAGTTATGCTTATAAAGATTCTTCAGGTAGTTCCAGCATGGCTTTGAGCAGAAGTCAGATCTACGAAGTGATACCAACTACAAAAATCAGTTTTGATAAAGTTACATCCCTACAAGTAACCTCTGTACACTAATTGGGACTCTCCACTTAAGCAGTTTGACTCTTTTTTTACTTCTGAACAGGTAAACAACACGAAGGTTCCCATGCTATCAAAGAACGGCCACCAGAAGAAGTTGCAGCCCGGCTTGCCCAGCAAGACAAAGAGGAGCAAGAGAAGGTATCAGGTAAGTCCACACTGTCACTGTTCCTGTGTGTTGCATGGGACAGAACTGTGGAATTGGACTGACTTTATAGTCCTAAGCTCCTTACACACCTCTTGGCTGTTGTCCCTGTGTTGAGTTGGCACAGGGAGTGGTGGTGAAGCTTCTTCCCCCCACTCATAAATAACTGAGAATAGAAGAATTATGGAAAAATTGAGGTTGGAATAGACTTCAGGGTTCAAGGAAGAGATGAAAATTTGTTTCCAGAACCATTAGAACAAGTGAACATGGGATATACCTGCACCCCCCTGCAGTCCCATGGGAGAGGTCTTCCACTGGGTGATGTTTTGCTCTCATCAATACCTCTGCTCTAAATGAGGAGAGCATTTTGGTGATCTTCTTCTCTAGGCTGCTGTTTAATTCCCAAACTGACCAGCCCTTTTAGATCATAGAAAATAATTCAAGAGATGTAGAGGCTGTAACATATTATTTTACTAATTATAAAATTCTTTTCTTTATTGTTTAACTGACTTTTTTTTCCCAGCCCTTGCAGCAACTCTAGAAGGAGCCCTAAACACAACTGCTCGTGTAACCCTTCAGGCCATCACTGCTCAGGAGTCAGCTGTGCAAGCAGTGAATGCCCATTCCCAAATACTGAAGGATGCCATGGATGATTCTGAGGTAAATTGGACAAGTGGGGACAATTTTTTTCTTTTTCATTGGGTTCAGCAAAACTTCAATCTGAATTAAAAATAAACTTGGAATAATTTCTTGCAATGCCTTTATCACAGTTTTAACTCACCTTTCCACTTGTGAAATGTGGTACAATCAAATAATACAGTGGTTTTGATTTTGAATTTTGTTGTTTGGGGTTTTTTTTCCCAACTCCTCTATTTTCTTTTTGCAAGAAGAGAATTCAAGTTAAGACATTTAATAGTTTTCACACTGTATTTTAATTAATTTTATTTTAATTCACAAGACTCTTTACCAAGTTAAGATCATGCTGTCCACCCCAATAATTCCATTGAACTTTTTCCCTTTGCCAACATCCTCTTTCTGGATTGTTTGTTTCTTGTCAGGAAATAGGAAGGGGATGTACAAGTGATAACACTGGTGGTGTGCTCATGCCAGGGTTTGTGTGGGTCTGCCACTGCCCATTCAGTTCTGCAGCAGAGATAAAATTCAGTTGTTACTCAGTTAGCAGGCACATGGGCAACCAACCAAGCACTCAAGACTTAATCTAGTAGTTAGTAAAATAACTGCCTTAAAAGATTCCTTTAAACTTACTAAGATTACCAAGCTTAATTTTAAATCAACCAACTTTAAAGTATTATTGTACTTTAAGTATTAAGCTTAAAAGCAATTTTAAAGTATTAAAGTATTTTAATACATGAGGAGATTTTCCCACAATACATTGTGCAGCTTACAGTGATTCTCATGTAGACTCTTCTGGGTGAATAAAGGTCTGTGGCTCAGGATAAAAAAACCCATTAAGAATCAAACAAAACCAAACCAAAACGTTGGAAGAGAACCATCACTTGTAAAGCTTCCAGCTGTGCTGTTGAAAAACACAAGAATGGTGCTCAGTTTGAGGGAAATGTTCAGTGACCCGGCTTCCACTGTGTGGCAGCTGTTGTTCAGTGGTGGTGCTGACCCTAATGAGGAGTCTGTGCTTCCCAGGACGCCGGGGGGAAGAAATCCTCGCAGTGGCGCACGCTGGAGGAGGCGCTGAAGGACCGCAGGAGAGCCGTGGATGAAGCTGCTGATGCCCTTCTGAAAGCCAAGTGAGTTGCTGGATTGAAGTCTTGGAGTAAAAAGTGACATTGCTCATGTGAGGGCTGGCAAACACCAGATGAGTTTCTAGAAAGTATGGAGTTGTCTGTGTTCATATGGAATGGTCTGTTTGTGCCATATCAAAAAATGGTTTAATACTCATTAGCCAGGAGCATTTTAATTTGACATGTGCAAACCTTGGGTGCCTGTGCACAAAGTCCTCCCTGTAGCAGAGAGTCTGAAACAGTCCTGTTCTTTTTAAGAACTTACCTCCTTATTACTAAATTAGAGTGCTGGTAAGTTCAAGGAAGATGAAAAAAAAATCCACAGTCCGTTTAGTATTATTGTTGAATAATTTTGTTAATAATAAACATAAGGACTTCAGCCTGGAGAAGAGAAGGCTCTGGGGAGACCTTCAAGCACCCTAGCACCTAAAGGGGATACAAGAGAACTGGGGAGGGACTTTTTACAAAGGCAGAACAAGGGGGAATGGCTTCAACTGACAGAGGGCAGATTTAGATTTGATATTAGGAAGAAATTTTTCCCTGTGAAGGTGGTGAGGCCCTGGCACAGTTTGCACAGAAAAGCTGTGGCTGCCCCATCCCTGGAGGTGTTCCAGGCCAGGTTGGATGGGGCTCTGAGTGACCTGTTCCAGTGGAAGGTGTCCGTGTCCATGGCAGGGGGTGGAATGAGATGATCTCTGAAGTCCCCTCCATCCCAAACAGTTTGAGGATGACTCCATGACTGCACTCGTGTATGGAGTCAATAACATCACCAGCTTCTTTTAGTTGTAATGAAAAAATTAAACCTTGCAGCATCCTTTGGCAGTTCCCTGTGTCCACAGAATTGCTTTTAAGCAATTTGATTTTTACTGAGCACATGCCTAAGAAAAACTTGAATTCTGAATGGCAGCACTGCTCATACCCTGGGGTTTGTTTGACCTGTGTTGATGTGTCCTGAGTCTGGTCTGTGAGCACTGAAGGAGCAGAAATAAAATGACAAACAGTATCTCCAAGATGCCCAGGTTAGAAATAAATTTGGAAGCCCTTTGATGCTTCTAAGGCTGAGAGGCAACATCATTCTTGAAGCTGCATGGTTGCTATCACATTATAAACTTCCCTTATCTCTGATGTTGCTGGGCTGACTGAAATTAGTGGGAGTCGTTGTTAAACAAAGCTAATGGAAACCCCACATGCAGCAGCTTTCATTCTCTATTGCTCTACTGGATATCTTTGCTTTTATTTATTTTCTTAATTTACTTATTTTAAAGCTTGTTCCTTATTCTAATGAAGTCATTGGAAACCTCCATTGGTTTGAATGGATTTAGAAAAGGAACATTTTTCACTTTTTCCTTGATTTCCAATTATGCTAGAGGAAAGCATTTCTTTCCTAATTACAAAAAAACATAATTATCTTTACAGAGCCCTATAAATTCTCTCCCATCCTCATTAATCTCCACCAGTCACCATGTCCAAAACACTTCTGCAAGCGTAAGCCATCTATATTAAAAATGTTTCCTTGCTGCTATTACGTGCTGGAAATGTCTGCTGTATAATTCTAACCTAATTTTAATCTCTAATTCTAGTTTTACTAATGTTAACTCCTTTCAGTGAACTTCCATTTTCCCTCTAGCTAAATCCTGATTACTAATTGCAGTATAAATAATTCTCATTTTACATGGAATAGCCACACTGACATTTTTAGGTTTCAGGCTGTGGGAAAAAAGTAATCCTTAGTCAAAGTATCGTAGAGTTGGTAGATAGGAAGCACCAGTAGAGTTACCCAGTAGTTGTTCCTGTGAATACCAACAGCATAAAGTAAATTTTCTTTGGGGTGATAAGCCCTGTGTATGTTACACTTAGCAGCTGCTTCTCTTTTCAGAGAGGAGTTAGAGAAGACAAAGGGTGTCATCGAGAGGGCCAAGAAGTCTCAGCTGGCAGGAGCCAAACCTCACATTGTTGCTGCAGAAGAAAATCTCCATCACATGATTGTGGACTTGGACAATGTGGTGAAAAAGGTAAGGCTTCCTCAGACTGTTTAAAATTGCTTCTAGAGCAGGGTCTCCTTGGCAATTTGTGCAGACCACCCATTCCCAAATCCTCTGCAGGGAGTGAGATATTTCATAGAATCACAGAATATGCTGAGTTGGAAGGGACACATCAGGGTCGTTGAGTCCAACTCCTGGTTCTGCACAGGACACCCCAAGAATCCCACCCTGTGCCTTCTTGGGCTCAGACAGGCTCAGTGCTGTGACCCCTTCCAGTGCATTGTGAATTGTAAATCCATCCTCTTGTAGCTGTGCTCGGGCTTTGAGCTGGTTGTACTGCCAGTAATCAGACATGGCAAGATCTTCATGAAAACTTGATCTCTGTCTTGAAAGAGCTTCCAGGTGGCTTGATGGTCCCAGTCCTGTCTGTTGGCAACTTGTAATTCTTCCCACTTGATTCCAAGGTAATTTACCACAAGGTTAGGGAGGAGTTCAATGTGTGCTAATTAATGACTTGATGGTAAATCACTTTGAAGTTCAGAAGACTGGGAAAGAAATGCAAAGGTGAAGTTTATCTCCTTTTGCAGGACAGCTGGTAATTCATCAGGTGTGTTTGGAGTGAATATAGCCTGATAGTGGGAACATCAGAACTCACTGAGGATAGCAGCAATCACAGGCATCGCTTACTAGGCCTGTATGATGGCTGTGAGCAGAGAGAAGGAGCTGGGGATGTTTAAGATATAAACTGAATTCAAGGTACTCTTGGTCCTGTCCAGGCTACAGACTGGCTGTGTAGCTGCAGTGGGCATATGAGGCAAAATGGATTAGTTAAAGTTCCAGCAAATAATTATTGTGTGAGAGAGGTTTAATATGACAGGGTGGGTTTCTGTGCTCTCCCAAGTGAGTTTGCCTTGCTTGGGCTGGGGTTGATATGTGCCAGTATGCCAGGGCTTGGCTTTAAATGATACATGCCTTCAATTTCAACCTTTGCCTTGATAAACAAATTAATCTCACCCTTGTTTGTTTCAGGTTCAGGCAGCACAGTCTGAGGCCAAGATCGTGGCTCAGTACCACGAGCTGGTGGCCAAAGCCAGAGAGGAGTTCCAGAAGGAGCTGGACAGCATCACCCCCGATGTGAAGCCTGGCTGGAAGGGGATGAGTAAGTCTCCCATTGGAGAGGGGTTGCCTTGTGCTTGTTGCACTGTGGTTTGTAGAGCATGACCACTCAATGTCCACCATCCCAGTTTTCAAATTTTCACAGTATGTGGTTGGTCTGAAGTGAAAATGATTTCACAACTAAATTAAATAATCTAAAGCAGGTGTTATGAAGAGAATCAGTTCTCTCTGTGCTGTTTGGGAAGTATCACAAAACATGGCTCTTGTGTGATAAATGTCATATTAGTTGTATGAATATCTCTCCCCTCCCTCGTATTTCAGGAAGGGAGCCAGGTCATTCCAGATTTCAATCAAATCTGATGTTAAGCAGTAATCAAATACTTGCTTGACTGTGATTAGAGGTATTATAAAACACCATTGTTACAGGGTGATAAAGAACTTCCTGAATTTTTCTACATCATCACTGAAAGGGAGAGGTTTCATTGTTTATACCCTGCCTGCCCCAGTACATTTTATTTCTGAACCAAACTGACACAGTAACACACCTGTAGCAACACCAGTGCTGCACAAAAGCAGTGAACAGTCAGCTCACCCCCAGTAGTGCTCCCTGCACACTCCTTGCCACAGGTGCCCTTGCTCACCTTAGCTGCTTTCATTTTAAAGATAAGCACAGTTGCAGGAGGTGGATTGTGTGTGTTCACCATTACTGTGGATGAGCTCCTGCAAGAACCCACGTGTGGTATGTCCATGGAACAATTACTGTCTGTGGTAGTTAAAAAAAATTAGTTCCCTAAAAACCCCAGATTTCCAGATATTTCCAGTCAGGTTTCAACATAAATGTGCTAAATGATCTCAGACTTTTCTAGCTGATGTGTTCAGAGGCAGCTGTTAAGGCTTTATTTCCAAGTTACAGATTTTTTTTATAGAAGTAGTAATTGTCATTTGAAAAAAGTGTCAGTATTGCCTTAATATTTTTCTTGCAGTATACAATGCAGAATTACAACAGATTTTCTTAATTCTACTTTATGCTTTAGGAATGTGGACCTTAGTCGTAGAAGTAGTAATTGTCATTTGAAAGAAGTGTCAGTATTGCCTTAATATTTTCTTGCAGTATACATTGCAGAATTACAACACATTTTCTTAATTCTACTTTATGCTTTAGGAATGTGGACCTTAGTCCACAAAATAATTTTTCCTGGCTAAATCAATACACCAGACCTTTGGAATGGTCAGTTTTCATTTAAAAAAACAGCCAACTTCACATCCATTATATGTGGGGAAAATATTTGAAATTAACAAATTGTTTGTGGAGTTTGCTTTTGGGGTGTTACTAGTTCTGAAGAGAACAAACTTATTTAGGCTCCCTGGGGATGGAGCTGCCTTTCCTTGCACAGGACAAAATCTTGGGTTTTGTGATCACTGCCCTTGTGTGGGAGGAAAGGGAAGCTCCTGGTGGCTTCCATGTGCCTCATTTCTTACTGGTGTGGCTTGCTGAATGGGGCAGACTTGTTGGGGTCCCTGACTCTCACTGCCACTGGGGAGTTTGTTTCTTTACCAACTGCTTCTGTTTGTAAGACCCTAAAAATGGCAGACTAAAATTTCCAGTGTCCTGCTGCACTTACCCACTTCAAACTTCTGTTCCTTGCTTTGGCTGAATTCGAGTGTCCATCTGTGGGTTTCCAAGGTGGTTTTAGTGGTTGGGGTGTCTTGGGCTACATCTTGCTGTAATACAGAGGCTTTTATACTCCACATACTGTTCTTCCTGAATTCCTAAGGACTTGGTCTCATGTTTAAATCACTGTAGATAAGCTTAGTTTCCTATTTTACTTCTGCATGACTGCCTTGCTGTAGTGAATGTGCACTAACTTTCCCAACTTCTTTCTGTTACAGAGATAACTGACTTAGGTGAGTTACTGTCACTTGTTCCTGTCCCTTGAAAGTTATCTCTTCTCTTTGTCCTTTTTATGTTTGTGTGGGGCATGGCTTTAAGTTACAGGCAGTTATCAACAAAGAGTGAAATGTGGCATTCCTCGAACATTCCAGGCTGAGGTACGCCTTGGGACCCCTTCCAGTCATGTTGCACACTTGGCTTAAACCACAAACAAGTCTTTTTTGTAACACTGTTACATCCAACAGCTGAGCTTGGCCACCTTTCCCACTGGACAATGAGCACCACTGCTCCAAGTCCTCCTGTGCCACTCCTTTCTCCAGCACTCAGCAGCAAGGTGTCTGAAGGACTGTGCAATCTTGCTTGCTTTTAGACCCTTCAGGAATGCTTCCCCAAGTAGTCCCAGCTTTCCATACAGATGATTTAACTTGCAGCCAGTGCAAAATGAGCTGCAGCATTTTATAAAGCTCTTCTCAGGTCACCAAATGCTGCAGGGTTAGCTTGGGTCCTCCTGTCCCAGGTACAATGTGGTTGTGAATTGTGCTGCCCTCTGAGTAGCCAAACATGAAAGGTACAATCTGGGGTAAAAAATCTGATTAGGAGCAGTTCATCTGGAGGACTTGAAGAGAAAATGTAATTCTGTCTGTCCCTCACAGTGACAGTCCCTGCTGCTCTGTGTGCTGGCAGAGGGGAAAATATGTGGTGGTGTAAAAACCAAGAAATGACAGAGCTGTTGACAGTCTCTGAGTGTGACATGGATATGGAAGTGTAAATTACAGCTGGGAATAATTTGGAAGAAACTAAGATAATTTCTCTCCTGGAATGAAAATAGAGTTCAGAAAGTGGTCTCAGGTGGGCATTAGCACAGGTCAAGGGCTTGAAGTGCTCAGAGACCTTCCCTAGAACAAGCTCTCTGGCCAATAACCCCTTGGAGCCCCAGAGCACTTGAGTGGGAGGCGGGGGGGCACTGCAGCAGTTTCCCTGCGGTTCCCATCCTCCCCTCATGCCCTGTGTTCCCTTCAGCTGGGCAGCTGTCCACAGATGACCTGAACTCCCTGATCGCGCACGCCCACCGGCGCATCGACCAGCTGAACCGGGAGCTGGCGGAGCAGCGCGTGCGCGAGCAGCAGCACATCGAAACCGCCCTGGAGAAGCAGAAACTTGAAGATAAAAAAGCATTTGAGGCAGCTGTGGCCAAAGCGCTGGAGCGTCACAAAAATGAGATTGAATTAGAACAGGAGAGGAAGGTAAAGTGGATAAAGCACCTGGTTAAATCTTTGGGTCAAAAAGAAGGTGGAAGAGTTAATGGAAAAGGCCAGAGGGACAGCTGGGATATTCTGGGTCGTGGGAGACTTCACATGGGTAACCCCCAGGCTAAACATGAAAAGGAAATGTTGAGCAAGGAAACTGCTGTAATGTTAGAAGGGTGAAATCATACAGGGAATGACTTTGTGAAGTTACTTGGCTCCTGTTGGAGATGGAATTACTGGATCAAAATAAATCCTAGGATGATTTGGGTTAGAAGAGACCTTCAAGATCACCTTGTTCCACCCTCCTGCCATGGGCAGGGACAGCTTCCACTAGACCAGGTTGCTCCAAGCCCCATTGAATATGATCTTGGGAAGGAGTTTGGGCAGCCTCAGGTTCTCTGGGCACTCTGTGCCAGTGCCTCACCACTGTCACTGACAATTTCAGTGTTTGATCTGACCTTGTGTGGCCATTATAGGGCTACACTGGGAAAAGGTAAAGTCTCTTTGGCTCAGAAGCTCGTTTATAAACCAGCCTCCAAAAGTGTTTGAGTGTTTGATTTGACATGTTAATGTATTTTTTATATACTGTTTTGGTAGCTGCACTAAGTGCCTACTGAGTAACCAGCAGTTACTCACATGGTGAACCAGGAATCTATTCCTTAACATCCCTAGGAAAAGGGTCAGCTGTGAAACTGGACCTCAACAGGTCTTTAGGCTGAAAGAGACGCTCTGTCAGTGCTACTGCTCTGACATGTATCCTCAGCCATCACTGGTGTGATCCTGTGACAGTGTGTGACAAGCAGCTGAGCAGTGCTGGTGCATTACACCCCTCGTGTGTGTGCAGGTGGAAGAGGTGCGGGAGGTGATGGAGACCGAAATGCGGACCCAGCTCCGGCGCCAGGCTGCTGCCCACACCGACCACCTCAGAGACGTCCTGAAGATCCAGGAGCAGGATCTAAAGGTGGAATTTGAGCAGGTAAGGGAGAGGAGTCCCCAGGGGAATTAAAGGGATATTCAAACCCTTGCAAAGCACAGGTTTCATATGACAAGAGTCCTGAAACATGTTCCAAGGGATTGAAATGGGGGCTGGGGAGGGAAGCAAGCTTACCTTGAGGTGATACTGAGTGACTCAATGTGTAGGTTTTATTCAGACTTGTCTGAAAAGCTTTTGCTATAGGTGATAAATTTTTGGAGTAAGTGCAGCGTTAAATTCACCCCAATAAGGTTTCTTACTGGTATATTTACTGTATGCATTGGCCCTAACAAGGACAACAGATTTATAGAAATGTCTTAAAAATAAGGTAAATATTACTAACCAGCTGTTTCTGTTACTTCTGTTGCACTGTTTCAGAACCTATCAGAGAAGCTCAGTGAACAGGAGATGCAGTTCAGACGCCTTACTCAGGAACAGCTTGACAACTTCACCTTGGATATAAACACCGCCTATGCCAGGCTGAAGGGAATTGAGCAAGCAGTCGAGAGTGAGCACTGAATTCCTCTTTTTTAAGGACTAAAACTGTGTTCCCCAAAGGCCCCTTGCCCAAACTTGGGCATCTAAACCCAGGCTTAGGCATGTAATTCACACTGCTGAGCGCCCAGCAAATCCCAGATGAGTGAAGTCCGAGGTGGTTCTTTCAAAAGTTTTCTTGTTCTGGCTCTAAACTGTGGGACAGACCTGCTTTAGAGCACATGCTGATGGGTTGGCTGCTTTGGAAAGCAGAGGGTGGAGAGGGATGGCTCTTGCTGCTTGTTCTCAAAGCCACACGTGCCCAACTAGAGCCCCTTCTTGGCTTCCCTTGCAGGTCACGCAGTAGCAGAAGAGGAGGCCAGGAAGGCCCATCAACTGTGGCTCTCTGTGGAAGCGCTCAAATACTGCATGAGGTCAGGCACGGGGGACAGTCCCACGGAGCCCCTGGGCAGCGCGGTGAAGGCCATCAAAGCCAGCTGCGCCGACAACGCCTTCACGGAAGCCTTAACAGCAGCTCTGCCAGAGGAGTCCCTGACGCGGGGCGTGTACAGCGAGGAGGCCCTCAGAGCACGCTTCTACACAGTCCAAAAACTGGCAAAACGAGTGGCCATGATCGACGAGACGAGGAACAGCCTGTACCAATACTTCCTGTCCTACCTGCAGTCGCTGCTGGTGTTCCACCCTCAGCAGCTGAAGCCACCAGCTGAGCTCAGCCCCGACGACCTCGACACGTTTAAGTTACTGTCTTACGCTTCCTACTGCATCGAGCACGGAGACCTGGAGCTGGCGGCCAAATTTGTCAACCAGTTACGAGGGGAGTCGAGGAGGGTGGCACACGACTGGCTCACGGAAGCGCGCATGACCCTAGAAACCAAACAGATTGTGGATATCTTGACAGCATACGCCAGTGCTGTGGGGTTGGGAACAACTCAAGTGCAGTGAGCTAGGATTGGAGCTTGGAGGCAGTTCAGCTGTTCTGGGCCAGAGAGAAATCCCATGATCTCCTGAGGGTTCAAACAGAGCTGTTGGCAGGGGCTGGAAGCAGTAAATCAAAGCACGGGTACCGTCTTGTTTCCTTGCACTGTATTTAATTTCACCATCTGTTGTATTTTTGTTGGTTTTGAGTTGTCATGACAACCAACTTCAGGAAGCTTCCCTACAATTTGTGTAAGAATTAATGTTTCCCCATCTTACCAAGTGGGCTTGTGATCGAACCAAAATAATGTTTGTAACCTGCCATTAATCATTTGCCACTTTGTCAGCTGAATAAAACAAGACTTCAACCACTTGCTGCTGCTGTTTAAGTCTCCTGTTTAAACATAACTGCAGCTGGGCAGTACAAAGCTCAGTCTTTCTCCATGACCTAAAGAGTTAAAACTCTAATTTACTTCTTTCGAGGAGCAAGAAAGCAAGACCTCACTGATGTGATTTATTAATTTGTACAGCATTAAAAAAAAAAAAAAAGAATTTATCTTTGAGTATAGGATATGTACAAAACTGGTGTAAGAACACATCCTGTCCTGGATTTCTGCCCTGGTAGGTTTCTTGTCAGAGCTGCTCTGCCATAGTTCTAGAACATCAGGTATTTCTACCAGAAAGGTAAACTTTGGTTCAACCAGTTTTTGCTCAAGCATTATCAGAATACAGCCAGCTTTAATATCAGTCATTTATTAGAGACAGTTTCCAGCTGTACAAAGTGTAATTTAACATCCAGACTCCAACACCTGTCCCAAAACACCAAAAGGATGAGGAATAACACCACAGGTGCCGAGTATTGCATTACTTCAGTGTTTATATACAGAGTAAACTCAGTATTTAAGTAGTTCAGCAAAGTTAGATGGAAAGGAGTGACATCTGGTGCAGGGTTGAGTGACAGGAGGCCCACAAGAAGTCTTGCTGAAGCTGTGTTAGTCTTGTGCCTGCCTGAGCAACCCCCAGGGCGCACAGCACCCCTCTCCCTGCACCCTCCACCCCCAGTGATGCTGTTTATCAGGAGCCAGCTCTTGCAGGGGTGCTGGGGAGCAGACCTGGGGTAGCCCACGCTGTGTCCCACATCACCAAGAGGATTTAACAGCTGCCACCTGGCACGTGAGGACGGCGTCTTGCCACGCAGGTCCCGTATCAGAACACTCCGAGCATTCATGAGTGCTGCAGCACCTCCCAGAAGCCATTCCTTCAGTAATTCCACTCCTTCCAAAGCCTCCTGGTATCATGGCAACAGTTGCTCCCAGTTTTCCCAAGAGGAAGAGGGACAGTCGGTCACTGTCACTACTGTCACTGTCACTGTCGCTGCTGTCACCATCCCACTTGATACTCTCCAGTGCCTTCCTGTGATGTCAAACAGAGCAGTCATCAGTCACTGTTGTGACTTGTGCTTGAGAAGAGAGATCCCAAAACACAAGGCAAACACAGAATATTATGGGCTGTCTAATGCCTACTGTCCCCAAAGGACAAGTGCACCCAGCATTTGGTGGAAGCACATCCTCTTGGAAAAGCCAACTCCTTCAGCTGCCCTCCAGGTGGTGAGCCAGCTGTCAGGGGTGCTGGTATTTATTCCCTTGGAGCACATCTGGCTCCAAACTGGTCCCTCAAGCCCCGATCACCATTTGAGGATCACCTGGGCTTGCTACAGCAGTGCAGTGAGAGGTGACCACAAGCCTCAGAACCTGGCAGCCACATGCAAGGCCATCCTGCACCACCCTCCTGCTTTTACTGGGCTGCAGTGTCTTCAGGCAGCCAGACCCAGCTAGGAAAAGATTCCAGGAAAGGAAGGCAATAGCAGGACTGAGCAGTGGGTAAGGCTAACCCCACCATGGAAAATTCCCTTTCCTCCTAGGTGGGATGGATACAGCATGGAATCAAAAACTGAGGGACCATTTCAGTCCTGGAGTCAACACACCAGCACATCATTCTGAAGCCAGCTGTCTGCTCCCTTGTCAGAGAAGCCTTTCCAAAGATGTTGCCCCACCAAGACCCTGTCTACTGTACCCCTTCAGCAGTAACATGAAACATTCCAACTTACTTCTGTGTTTCAGAGAGTTGAAATTCCTCTTCTGTTCTGCTTTTCAGCCTTTGAGATAAAGGAAGCCCAAGGGATGCTGCCAGCTTTACAATCTTAATTGCCTCATCTGGGCAATTGTTTTGCTTAGCACAGTTCAAGAACTCGTCCATCACCTTTTCACTGCAAAGGCAAATGGTGACTGTTCTCAGAGTCACAGGAGAGGTGCCCATTAATTTATAGCCCATGCTTTAGAGAGGGAGAGAAGGTGACATTTTCAGATCAACCAGTTCATCTCTGCTCCTGCCAGGAACTTCACCTCTGGTACAGAGGGAAGGCTATGTGGTAAGTTTGGGAACTTCTGTCCCAGCAGAAGAGAACAGGCACAGAGTGCCACTAGGTGTGCAGCCTTTGGTACCACACACCCTCATGGTGCTCACTGGGGCAAGCTCCAACTTTATTTTAAAAAAAATCCCACACCCAAACAAAACCCATTACTATTCCTTACAAGTTGTGTTCTACTTCAAACAATTCCCTCCTCCAGAATCCCAAGACAAGCAAGCTGGTGTAGCCTAACAGGGAACCACCTAAGATTTAGCATTTGACTCAACAGACTTGTCTTCAGAAATCCAGGCACCTCTGAAACACCCGTGCTTGGTTAAGAGCATACTGGGATATTTCTGAGCACATGAAACCAGGTATTTGTGGGTCCTGCTCAGTCTGATTTGCACAGCTGAGTTCATCAGTGGCACTGCTCTCCATGGCCCAGAGCTTCAGACACCAACCACTTCAGTCCCTCCCACTCTGCACTTTCAACATGCTTGAAACAGGTATTCCAAGACAGAAAGCTCTTGGAATATTTCCACTGGATAAACAAACAGCCATGCTCACAGGGACAGACACACATTCATGTTCTGGAAATAAATGGACTACTACTATTAGTTACAACTGGAGGCTGGACTACCTGATCTTTAAAAGTCCCTTTCATCCCAAACTATTCCTTCATCCCTTAATTCAGGATCTCAGCCAAAGGGGAGACTCAGTAAGTGAAGAACCTAAAAATACTTACGTGGGAATCCTATTGATTTTCTGGAAATGCTCCATCATGTTCCTGTTCAAAAGAAAACAAAATCATTAAGTTTAAAACTGCACATAACAGGAACACACAGATATTCAACCTGATGGATGAGCCTCCACTGAAACACAGCTAAGCTCAAATTCATGAAACAATCTTCCCCGTGGATCTCATGCTGTATCCTTGCAAATGCAATCTGTATGAGCTAACCTCACTGATTAGTTTAACACAAAGTATCTTACACTCTGCAGAAAATGGTAAGTGTAGCTGGTGGCAATTTTCCTTTAAAATACGACATATTTTTAGTATTTTAATGGACTCTTTGTTGCTACTTCTGTGTTTCAAATTAATCACTGTACACTGAACATCTGCATTTAACAGAAAATAGCTCAAAACCTTTAATCAGAAGCTAGATATTTTAACCTGTATTTCAACTTTAGAGCATACAGGACAGTAAATTCTACCTATTAGAGTACTAAAAGTAGCCTATTTAGAGTTTTGATTAGGACTGCTGCTAATTAAAAATTTAATTAAACTAATTAATCTCTTTATCAGCTTGAATTCCAATGAGTTCTAAAAATCAAAAATGGTGAGTTGTAGGCACTCAGCAGTGCTCAGGATCAGACCACAACTTGCCATAAGTGGCTGTACAAAGCTCTACACCAGATACTACACTAGATTCTAAACCATTTTTAAGACAGACAACTGTCACCTGGTGTCATGAAGGAACAATAACAAGGGAAAAACCCCATCACATTCCCTGCAGGCTTTATCCCCTCCCTTTGTCTGCACTGCCATTCCAAGGCATAGGTCATTAGCTTTTGCTTTTTGTGATTAAGCCTTGAGTTGCAGTGTCAGCAAGCCCAGAGCTCAGAGAGCCCACACGTACCAGGCATCCTGGGTTCTCCCAACCCTGGCAAACAGCACCACGACATGGCCCAGAGCACTCCCTGTCCACTCCAGCGGGACCTGCCCCGGCCCAGCAGCCTCATGGACAGCTTTGATTTCTTCAGCACAATTGGCAAATGCCAGCTGAATCTGTGAAAACATTGTGCTATGAAGAACAAAACCTCTGAAATGAACAGAAGCTTTTCAGGGCAATTTCTCCTGCAGCTCCTATAGGCTTGCTCTGTATATGATTTAAATTTGTGAATTAAGAATCATTACACTGGGAGACAAATCTGTCACTTCTGTCAGGAGGCTGTCCCCACTAGGCAAGCTCCAGGGTGGCTTTGCAGGCACAGCTGTATTCGCCTTCAACACCCTTCAGCTTGAGAAAGCAATTACTGCAATGAAATCCTTAGCAAAAATCCCTCAATTCTGCCATGTGCTTCCCCAGAGATATGGCTGGTTGGGCTGCATCACTTCTCCAAACCCTGGTAAGAAGGGATCCTGCTCTGTTAATGTGAGGTTTCTTTATAGGCTGAAGACAATCCAAGTGGTTCACCAGGCCTGGATAAGCTCACATGGATCTGAAAATTTGCAGTGGCAGATGCACTGGAACTGGATCTCTAGGACTGACCAGGGATACAGCATTTACCCAGTCTAGGGAGACACCACTACTCTCTACTGAGCTTCTGTGCTGATTTTGGCTGGGATAGAGTGAAATTTCTTCAGTTTCTTCTTTCTTACTATGGGGCTGTGTTTTATATTTAAGATGGGAAGTATGTTGAGACACAGGGATATTTTTCTTATTGCTGGGCAGTGCTTAAAGAGCATCAGGGTTCCACCACCAGGGAGTGGGCTGGGGGTGCACAGGGTGTGTGGCACAACAAGGACTGGGAGGGGACACCTCTGAGACAGCTGACCCTAAATGCCCATGGGATATTGCAGACCACAGGATGTCATGCTCAGCAGATAAAGCAGGGAAAAGGAGGAACGGGGGTTAATTTGGAGTGATGGTGTTTGACTTCCCAAGTAACTGTTATACATGAGCTTTCCAGGAGCCTGGCCTTCCTAGGGATGGCTGAACACCCGCCTTTGATGGGAAATGGTAACTGAGCTTGAGCTCTGCCCTTTTACTGCCCCAGTTCCCTCCACCATCTCACAGCAAGTGGCTGTGTGGGGGCTCAGCTCTTCATGGGTGTTATCAGCTTCCTTACCTCACTGGGGTGCTGGTCCCTGCTCATCAAAGACAAGAACTCCTCCAACAGGTCTTGTCTCCTGCTAAACCCCAGCTGTTTCACATCTGTTTAGAGAGAGGCAGTAGTTGG